AATCCGTCAGTGCGAAGCCGCAGTGTCTCTGGAGCCCCGCACGACGGCAGCCCCATCACGACGGGGCCTCTGCGTCCCTCCTGCCGGAGGGGGACAAGGGAAGGGGCGGAAGAACCGCGCTTGGGGGGCAGGTCACCCCCTCCAGCTCTACCCGGGGACGGGGCTGCGGGTGGACACATCTGGGCCGCCCCGGCACAATCAAAAAAAAAAAAAAGAAAGGCCAGGAAAGGGGAAAGAGGAGGAGGAGGGAGACGGCGGGGCAGGAGCTGCAGAAGGCAAAGGGGCGTCCCCATCCCCACCGGGGCTGTTGGAGTAGGGGGTGGCTTGGTTGTCACGGCCGGAGATCAGCGAGGTTGACCCGGAAAAGTCTCCAGAGCGACTGCGGGAGCCATAAAGCTCCGGGCCCTGTCCCGGGACGGATCCCTGGAGCGCGGGAGGGAACCGCGGCCCCATCGCCCCTCACCTGCGCGGGAACCCCCGGCCGGGCGCCCAGGGCCGCCCCGTCCGCGCCCGGCAGCGGCGCCGGGGGCTCCGTGCTGCCCGGGGGGTCGCGCTGCAGCCCCCGCCGCTGCCCCGGGCTCGGCTGTGCCGCTGCGAGGCTGCCCTCGGCCCGCGCGGGAGCCGCTCCCGCTCCGCGGAGCCTCCGCTGCCTCCTGCCCAAAGCGGCCTCTCGCTGGGCGCTTTGACGCGGCGGGACAGTCTCCAGCAGGGAGCGATGGAGCCGGCAGCTGCAGCCCTTTCGACGGGGGTCAACGCAGCCCAGCCCGGCCAGCAGCATCCCCCCTGAATAAAGCGGTTGCAGGGCTTGATTACACGGGCACCGCTCCAGCGGGATTTGGGGAAAGGCTCCGTACCAGAGCGGGACCGTAAGACCTGGGAAAGGCCTGAGCAGGGAGAGCTGCTCGGRGAACCCCTGCCGGCCCTCGCTCCTCTCCCCCGCAGGAGAGGCCTCTCCTCCCCCGCACCCCGATGCGAAAGGTACCGACAAAGGGCGCTGGACAAGGGCGCCCACGAATCGCCCGCGGTGTGCCCGCCCGGGGCCGGGCAGGGGCTCCCGGCGGCGGCGGCCGCTCCGCTCGGGCTTGCTCGCTTGTGCCACCCGGCGCGGGGCTCCCCGGGCGCGGCGGCGGCCGGACAACAGGAGGCGCT